GTTCAGGGGCACCTGTGTCATCTAGCACAGTCTGCCAAGGCTCCACTGTCACTTGTTCTGGCAGCTACCTGGCACTAGAATGGGCTTGTCCGGTTAGAGGTGTCTGCCCGGAACTCAGACCATGTTACCTGGGTTAAGGCTTGCAAGCAAATAACAAACCAACTCTGCATGGAGGGCAGAGTCCTCGGTACCCTCCAATCACTTTCCAGGCCCAGTTCCTCTCCCACACTTGAAACCCACCTGAAGCCCAGGCTCCCAAGGAGCACAACCCTTTCTAGTCCTGAGCGTGGCTCTGCTCACGGGGAAGGCAAACATCTAGGCTGGAGAAAGCAGGCACCCAGTCCCTAGTCCATCAACTGAAGCAGATTTAGGAGCCACCGGGAATGGTAAAAGAGCTACATAATTTAAGACTTGACCAAAAAGCCAAATTACTTTTTTTTTTTTTTTTTTTTTAAGATGGAGTCTTCCTCTGTCACTCAGGCTGGAGTGTAGTGGCACCATCTCAGCTCACTGCAACCTCTGCCTCCAGGGTTCAAGCAATTCTCCTGTCTCAGCCTCCTGAGTAGCTAATTAAAGGTACATGTCACCACAAGCTGATAATTTTTGTAATTTTAGTAGAGACAGGTTTTCTCCATGTTGGTCAGGCTGGTCAAATTCCTGACCTCAAGTGATCCATCCCCCTCGGCCTCCCAAAGTGCTGGAATTTCAGGCGTGAGCCACCGCATTTGGCCAAATGACTTTATGAATTTTAATTACACACCTCTCCACAAATGGAAGTTAAGTGAAGCACTTTAGACCCAGTATATCTTGGACATAATAACATCAGAAACAGGTCTGGGAGAGCAAATGAGTAGGTGGGAGGCAGACGAATAGTAAAGCATTCTCGGATTTCAGTCCAGTTGCTCAGCATGTTTGCAACAAAAACAACATCAATGAGCAGCATTTGGACACAAAGGCTCCGAAGCAAACATACATCCCAGAAGATGCAATGAAATGCTATACACCGGCCAGGAGCGCTGGCTCACACCTGTAATGCCAGCACTTTGGGAGGCCGAGGCGGGTGGATCACAAGGTCAAGAGATTGAGACCATCCTGGTCAACACAGTGAAACCCCGTCTCTACTAAAAAAAAAAAAATACAGAAAATCACCTGGGCATGGTGGCACGTGCCTGTAATCCCAGCTACTCAGGAGGCTGAGGCAGGAGAATTGCCTGAACCCAGGAGGCAGAGGTTGCAGTGAGCCGAGATCGTGCCATTGCACTCCAGCCTGGGTAACGAGCGAAACTCCGTCTAAAAAAAGAAATGCTATACACGATGAAATGCCCAGGACCAAAAATCATTTCTTATTCAGAAAAGGGAAAAAAGGAAAAAAGAAAAAAAAAAACAGTGTAAGGCTCAGAAGGCAAAGAGCCATCAGGCAAGAACAATCTGTGTGGGTATTTGGCATGCTTCAGGTAAGACGGGCCTTCCTGCCCATTGAACACTGAAATGAAACCATGACAGTTCACTTTAATGAGATTTTGATTTCCATCAGCCCAACCTGGAACTTCTTAGACATAACCATTATATTTTTATCAGTGTGTGTCAGGCAGCTGCTATAGCAATTATCAACCCTGAGAGCCCCAAGTGTCTAAATAAACATTCTGTGGCAGCATTCTCAAGGCCATCATAGTCTCTATTCTCTTATCCCACTAGCTTGAGATTCTGGAATTCTATTTTAACCACAGGCAACTATGATGTTTTTCTTGCAAGAAGTAATTCCATTTCCCCCAATGCATAGCATAGATTTAAGATACGTGGTAGGTTGTTTTAAAACTTCAGTCAGGTGTGGTGGCTCATACCTGTCATCCCAGCACTTTGGGAGGCTGAGGCAGGTGGAGCACCTGAAGTCAGGAGTTCAAGACCAGCCTGGCCAACATGGTGAAAGTCCATTTCTACTAAAAATACAAAATTTAGCTGGGTGTGGTGGCGGGCATCTATGATCTTAGCTACTTGGGAGGCTGAGGCAGGAGAATCATTTGAACCCAGGAAACGAAGATTGCAGTGAGCTGAGATCACGCCATTGCCCTCCAGCCTGGGTGACAGAGCAAGAAAAAAACAAAAAGAAGAAGGAGGAGAGTGGGCAAGTGAGTTGATGGTGGTGGAGACAGCACTGGGAGGACATGAAGGAGGTAGCACCTGATGTGACATGATTTCAGGGATACTTCTTGGTCTCTCCTTTTCCAAATAATTTCCATTTCAACCTGTCCCCACCTCTGAAATGCATCCATTTGAACTTTGCTCCTCCAGGCCCTTAAAAATGCCAGAGGTCCAGTGAAAATTGGGGGGTGGGGGGGCGGGAATTTTCTAGGAAGCCCTGAAGAAATATTTTTTTTCAGAGGGATTGATTTTAGGAATAAGAAAATGATTCAAGCTTGTATTTACTAGCAAAAGATTCTTGGAATGAGCCTATTACACTGCAGAGGCTACAAGTTACAATACAGGGCAAAAGAGACACAGACACTTTGAGAAGTCTCCAGTCTCACTCCAAATTTGTGCCCAGGCCTCAGTGGGGATCACTGAGCTGCCTTCCAGATGAGAAAATGTCAAAAAGCCTCACTGAGCTTCTGCATTTGAGATTCATTCTTCAAACTGAGAAGGAAGAGGAAAAGTAGAAAAGCAGGTTTGGGTGCCTTTGCTCCATGCTTGAATACGCACAAATCTCCTAGACTGGATTCCGCACCCACATTTTTTTATTTTGCTAGAAAGGTTATCAGTGGGATGCAAAGGAAAGCAGACTGTACTCTTGTTAATTTACTGATTTTGGTCATTGTGCTGTCTTTAGAGGCGAGTGTTCTTTTTTTTTTTTCTTCCTGGATCAGTAGAGGACTTTTTTTTTTTTTTTTTTTTTTTTTTAAGGAAATACACACTGAAGTATTTAATAGTGAAGGGACTTCACGTCTGCAACTTACTCTTAAATGGTTAGAAAATTATAATACATGATATAGGGAAAAGATGAAGGAAATATCATTATGTTACTGTTTGGGGAATTTGAAGAGGGATATAGGGCATTTTTCGTAGTATTCTTGCAACTTTTCTGAAGTCTAAAATTTTATTTATTTATTTAGAGACGGAGTCTCTCTCTGTTGCCCAGGCTGGAGTGCAATAGCATAGTCTTGGCTCACTGCAACCTCTGCCTGCTAGGTTCAAGCAGTTCTCCTGCCTCAGCCTCCCAAGCAGCTGGGACTACAGGCGCACAACACCATGCCAGGCTACTTTTTTGTATTTTTAGTATAGATGGGGTTTCACCATGCTGGCCAGGCTCGTCTTGAACTTCTGACCTTGTGATCCACCTTGCCTTGGCCTCCCAAAGGGGTGGGATTATAGGTGTGAGCCTCAGTGCCCAGCCTGTGTGTGTGTGTGTGTGTGTCGGAGTTGCACTCTGTCACCCAGGCTGGAGTGTAGTGGTGCGATCTCGGCTCACTGGAACCTCCACCTCCCCGGTTCAAGGGATTCTCCTGCCTCAACCTCCCAAGTAGCTGGGACTACAGGTGCCTGCCACCATGCCCAGCTAGTGCGTGTGTGTGTGTGTGTGTGTGTGTGTGTGTGTGTGTGTGTATTTTTAGCAGAGACAGGGTTTCACTATGTTGGCCAGGCTGGTCATGAACTCCTGACCTCATGATCCACCCTCCTAGGCCTCCCAAAGTGCTGGGATTACATGTATGAGCCACTGCGCCCGGCTAAAATTATTTTTAAAAAAACATATATACATCTGCTCTGAAAGAACTATAATGCTCGCAAGACACGGTTCCCAGCCTCAGTTTGGGAGACTGAGCCCACTGCGTTCTGGATTGAACGAAGAACCTCACGCTGGGAAGACACCTACCACAGCAGAAAGAGTCCGGTTCTGCCCTCATTCTGCCACTTAGCCAGGTGGCCTTGGGCAAGTTGTTTAATCGTTCTGTGCCCCAGCATATCATCTGAACAACGGGCATAATGATACCTACTCTGTAAAGATTTCAGAAAACATGCAGCAAAGGCCAAGTAAATGATGGTGGTTTCACAAAAAGAAAACCACATTACCCCCACACAATCTCCTCGGAAAAACCAACTGTCCCTTTTACAGTTCAGCAGAACGAGGGCAAAGGGCAGCTGGGGAAAGCATGACATACAAAGACCATCACTCACAGCCTGGCTTTACTTCCCGTCACCTACGTTGCCTCATTCCTTCACTAATTAAGTGACCTCTGGGCAACAAAGCACCATAAGGCTTCTGTTATCCTATTACTTCTAATATGTCATAATTATGTGACATACAAATCTCAAGCTCTTTTTACCTTCATCATAATCTTCACCAATATCTTTATATATGCTCATTGATTAAACCCTCTTCTAAAAGGATTGAGGCATCTCAGGGGAGTACACTATTATCTCTGGTTTCTTGATTAAGAGCTAGAAATACTCCTAGCATGTATCCCAGAGGTATCCTCATAAGGGGACAGGCAGGAGGATATTTACTGCAGCAAGGTGAGTGGGGCAGAGAGCTGGAGGCGTGTGCGTGTCTGCATCCAAGTGTGGCTGGGTGTAAGGGGGTAGCCCCACAGCACAGAAATAACGAACCAGATGCTGCATGCCAGTGGAGCTTAAAAACAGAATGCTGAGTGCAAACGTCAGGAATGGATCGAGACTTATAATGTGATGCCAGAAAGTCTGAAAGGTGTCCCACAGTATTTATGTAAATATGTTAGTTACATTCTTCACGAAATGTTACATTTGTAACTTGTACAACAAAAATAGATCCCAAACAGTAGAGAGGAAGGGCAGGAAGGATGAATGCAGAGTTACATTTTTCATAAAATGTTACATTTGTAACTTGTAAAATAAAAATAGATCCCAAAGAGGAGAGTTTAGAAGGCTCAGTAGAAACAAGCGGATGTAAGGATGGATGGATGAAAGACAATGGGAGACACACACACACAGTGTACTCATCCCAAACATGGACAAACCCCTCAGGGTCTTACCTGAGGCTCCTGGTTTGTGGCTGGGCTGACCCGCCTGGTGCACGCTCTGCTGTAACAAATTGAGGCACTCGCCAAGGCAGCTAAGGGTGGCAGCAGAGGTAGCTTTCAGGAGGAGCAGGTCTTGGTCCAAGGCAGTGAGGGGGCCAGAACCTGGCAGGGACTCGATGGCGTGCACAAGGTTCTTCTGTTGCCCTTCCACCTGGTTCATCATCTACAAAACAAGAAGACAGTTAGGAGGTGAGGGGCAGAAGCTCTTCCTTCAACAGGGTGGCGAGCTGGTAGTCAAGCCACGGCAGTGGGTAAAACTCAGTGAGTCAGCTCAGAGCGTTTGGTGCACATTAGTCTTTTGATAAATACTCAGTCCTGGGTGAAACCTGTCTAGGAAAATTTATCCAAAGGCACTCTAATCACGAGAATGTTTGAACTTTAGAGCTAAAAGGAGCCGTCAGGACCATCTGGGTCTATCATTTTACAGATCTGGAGGTAAGTCAGTAACGAATAAAGCAGACCTTGCAACCACCTTTGGGGTTCTTTCACTGTGGGAGCTTATCTGAGACAGCAGACTCACTGCGGTTTCCCTCCGAGCAAGGTTTCCTCCCGCTCCAATCTAGCTCGTTGGTAGTCCTATTCCGAGTCCATGAAATGCAAGGGAAATCTGAGGCTGGTGTTTGTACAAAGGTGATAACAATGAAACCAGTGATGAACCCCCTTCGCTCATTTGCCAAAAAAAAAAAAAAAAGCTGCTAAACAGGACACGGCCTTCTTAACACAATAAGAGACGTCAGGAAGAGAAAAACCACCAATTCTAGACCCAGCCCTACTCCACGGCTTAAGCTATGACAAATAATCGTATCTTGTGGCCTGGCTTCAATTCATAAGCTTATCATAAGACAAACAGTAGTCTAATTGCATCTTTGAACTATCAAAAAGGAAGGAACACAACAGCTAGAAAGGGACTTTAATGGCTATCTTGTGAAGTTCACCCCCCTCATGTTTTATGACTTATCTCATTAAACAGGATGATGTACATCAAGTGCTTAGGTACCATGTCTAACAAATAATTAGCCGGTCTAAGAAGGGGAGGAGTTCAGGCAACCCGCCCAAGGTCACAGAGCCTGCTAGCATCAGAAGCAGAGTAAATTCCTGTTCTCTGATGTACTGTTTTTAAGCTTCTCCACAACAGCTGTCCTTATGTGAAGCAACATCTCCCGCTCTGTCACTGTCATCCCTGGAGGAACCTTGTCACCGTGATGTCACCATGACGTCACCAGTGGGAAGAAGCAATAATTCTGTAAGGCCCGCTGAACGTGGACACAAAGATCATTCCAGGCTCAGCCTTTTTTCTCTTCCCTTTTGAAACAAATACCTGCTATTGGCGATTACCTCAAAATGATTTTTTTTTTTTTAAAAAGAAAAAGATGAATGTTAATAGACAGGTTCCACAGGCATGGTTTGAGCATTCTCATCTTCATGTGCACATCCATAATCTGGCCATGCAAATTGTTTTTGCAGATTACAGAGGTTCTACTCAGCCATTCTGGCTGCTAAAACAGTGCCTAGAAATAAGGGGAGCTCAGTAAGTACTCATTTCTTCTTCAAGTCTTTGTCTAAAAGTCACCTTTTCAGCCAAATGCCATGGCTCATACCTGTAATCCCAGCACTTTGGGAGGCTGAGACGTCTGGGTGGATCACCTGAGGTCAGGAGTTCAAGATCAGCCTAGCCACCATGGTGAAACCCTATCTACTAAAAACACAAAAATTACCTGGGTGTGGTGGTGGGCACACCTATAATCTTAGCTACTCAGGAGGCTGAGGCAGGAGAGTCACTTCAACCCAGGAGGCAGAGGTTGCAGTGAGCCAAGGTCTCATCATTGCACTCCAGCCTGGGCAACAAGAACAAAACTATGCCTTAAAAGACACACACACACACAAATTAGCTGGGCGTGGTGGCACCTGCCTGTTATCCCAGTCACTCAGAAGCCAAGGCAGGAGAAGCGTTTGAATCTGGAAAGCAGAGGTTGCAGTGAGCGAGATGACACCACTTTGCTCCAGCCTGGGTGACAGTGAGACTCAGTCTCAAAAAACAATAAAACAGCCGGGCGCAGTGGGGCATGCCTGTAGTCCCAGCTACTTGGGAGGCTGAGGTGGGAGGATTGCTTGAGTCTAGGAGTCTAGGAGTCCTGGGCTGTAGGGCATTATGCCGACCAGGTGTCCGCACTAAGTTCGGCTGCAATATGGTGACCTCCCAGGAATGGGGGACCACCAGGTTGCCTAAGGAAGGGTGAACCAGCCCAGGTTGGAAACGGAGCAGGTCAGAACTCCAGTGCCGATCAGTAGTGGGATTGCACCTGTGAACAGCCACTGTACTCCAGCCTGGGTAACAACAGAGCTTGACCCCATCTCTAAAATAAACAAACAAACAAACAACAAAATAAAAAAATAAAGTCATCTTTTTGAGAAATCTTCCCCAACCACTTCCTTAAAGATCACATCTCCAGCCCAACCCCAGACATGGCTATCTTCCTTACCAACCTTATTACTCTCCACAGCATTTACCTCCTTCCAACTGATCTTGTCATTATTATATTCATTGAAGCTAGTGTGCAAGCAGGAATCATGATCTGTGTTGTTCACTGATGTATCCCAAGTACTGTAAATACCCACCTATTGAATGAATGAATGAATGAATGAATGAATTCCAGTCTCACGTGCCTATCATTGATACCTATTGAATGAATGAATGAATAAATGAATTCCAGTTTCACACGTCTCACTGAAGTGCAAGAGAGTCCATTTATGACATACAGGCTACAGAATACTTGAACATAAAATGGCTGAAGATTTAGTAACAGATAATACCTCCATTATCAGTTTGCCAAGAAATACTGCCAACTAGTTAAATTTAACTTCAAACAAGATAAAATGTCTATGTATTCTCTGACGTTTATATGTATAAATGCTAACAGTTAGGGAGAAATGGATTTTGAGCTATTTGTAGTCAGCATTTCTGTAAATTCCTACCATAAAATCCTCTCTTAGAAAATGTATTGAAAAGAAAGAAGAAAATGTAATGATGAAACCTGATACATTATGTTTTTATAATGAATGATGTCATAATGCTTAAGCAAAAAGGTGACTAAAATCAAGCCATAAACTATATGGTATACACTGATTTTTAATCAACGAAAAGAACTATATTCTAATTACATAAAATATTATTTCATAAACATAAGGTATTATGAAAATCTCAGGTAATAAAAGTACAAAACTAGCTTAAAGGATACTTTTCTCTATTCCAACAGATGCACATGCTCAGAGATGGAATCCACACATTGGCTCTCTAAAAAGCATTCAGGCCAGGCATGGGGACTCATACCTGTAATCCCAGCCCTTTGGGAGGCCAAGGCGAGCATATCAATTGAGGCCAGGAGTTTGCGACCAGCCTCGCCAACGTAATGAAACCCCATCCCTACCAAAATAAAACAAAAAAAATTTAGCAAGGCATGGTGACGCACCTGTGGTCCCAGCTACCCAGGAGGCTGATCCCTTGAGCCCAGGGGGTGGGGGCTGCAGTGAGCTGTGACCACATCACTATGCTCCAGCCTGGGTGACAGAGTAAGACTCTGTCTCAAAAAAACAACATAAAACAAAATAAAATAAAAATCATTCATCAGTATTTACTGAGAGCCTATTGCCAATAGCAAGGGGGAGTAGTCTTTGAAGGCAGTGGGGTGGGTTTGGCAGCTACAGTAACTGTGGAAGAACTGTGGACCGGAAAGCATGGGGCCCAGGAGCACTAAATGTCTCTTGAGTCAGGCACAGTCCTGTACAACAAAGATCTTTGCTGATTAAAATGCTAACAGTGCCCCTTGAGCAACCCTTGGCTAGAGACACATCAATAACCAGGCATCTCATGGCTTTTGACTTCTTTCTTGGGAAACTGAATGCTAAAAATAATACAAGCTTGACAGTGACTGGCACATAGTAGATACCTCCTAAAGATTCATTTTCTTGAAGATGGCCAAATAGGAACAGCTCTGGAATGCAGTTCCCAGTGAGAACAACGCAGAGGGTGAGTGACCACCACATTTCCAAACGAGTTATGACTGCCCACAGACCAGGGGATTCCTGGGCTGAAAAGCACCACAAGTCTCCAGCACGGCTGTTTCAGCTGGTGCAGCGGGTCTCCGCACAAAAACTCGCAGAAATCTGAGCGGCTGTTTCAACTGGCACCTGGGATGTCTGGGATACAGAGCCGCCCATTCAACTGAAAAAAAAGGGAGCTGAAACAGGTAACCAGGTGATCTGGCTCGGCAGGTCCCACCCCCACAAAGACCAGCAATCTGAAACACTCTGCAATGAGAGTTTCACAGCAAGCGCAGCTGGACAAGGGACAGTCCAGCTCTGTTGGGGGAAGGGCGCCGGCCATTACTGAGGCAGTCCACCACTACCGAGGCCGACTGCCATTACCGAGGCAGTTCTAACTATACCTCTATAAACAAAACCATAAGGAAGTTCAAACAGTGGCTGGGCAGAGCCCATGGCAGCTCAGCAATGCCTCTGCTGGCAGACTGCGACTAGGCTACTTCCTTGCTGGGCAGCGCAGCTCTGAAAAAAGGCAACAGCACATCAGGGACTTATAAATAAAGCCCCACCTTCCCAGGACAGAGCACCTAGAGAGAAAAGTGGTTATGAGTTCTGCTGCCCCAGACTTAAATGTACCTGCCCAGTAGCTCTGAACAGAACAATGGAGCTCACAGGTCAGCACTTGAGCTCCTATAAGGGACAGACTGTCTCCTCAAGCAGCTTCCTGACTCCTGTACATCCAAAGAGTTAGCTCGTAAAGGAGAGCTCAGGCTGACATGTGGTTGGTATCCTTCTGGGAAAAGATAACAGAAGAAGAAACTAACAGCAACCCTTACTGTTCTGCAGCTGCCACGGGTGATCCCCAGGTAAGCAGGGTCTGGAGTGGACCTCCAGCAGTCCTACAGCAGAGGGGCCTATTAGAAGGAAAACTAAAAAACAGAAAGAAATAACTTCATCATAAACAAAAAGGATGCCCACTCAGAGACCCCATCCAAAAGTCACCAACTATAAAGACCACAAGTAGATAAAACCATAAAGATGGGAAGAAACCAGTGCAAAAAGGATGAAAACACCCAAAACCAGAATACCTCTACTCCTCCAAGGGATCAAAACTTATCACCAGCA